GGAGGCATTAAGTCATCACCTTTTCAGTGCCATTAGGTCACCGAAAACTGTAAGGGTTTTTATTTGAGCGAAATAAAACTGTAATGAGGTTAAAATACTAAGGCTTCAACACATCCTATTTGACAGTGGCAGTTTGAATCTTAAATGTTAAAGTTCAAATTAAAAATAAGGTAATTTCACATGACTTCTATGGTTTCCACAATTAACAGTAAAATACCCATTAGATACAGGGAGGAACATTCTTATCCTTCTAACAAGGCTGTTAGGCAGACTACCTGCTGGTATTTTGAAATCAACGCCAGAGCTTATGTCATGAGTCACCATATAGTGATTTTCAAACTGTGACAGAAAAATTCTTCCACCCAGAGGCGGGAAGGGTATTGAAAGAGTCCTCCCAACTCTCACCAGAGGAGTGCCTTCCTTAACTGATTTATAGTATAGGTTTACTTAACTCAGGAGGCTTTAGTTTGGAGCGGGGTTGGGGGAGTGGGGGGAAGGAGAGTTTCAAATTAAAAAAAAAAGTTTGAGAAAGCCCAGAATGGGGGGGGAAAAATTGTTGTCACCTTACCCTCAAAACGATTTGGCTATTTGTTTGGATGACTATGGTATTACCACCTCAAGGGACAAAAGACCTCATATAAAGTTGGCTGTGGTTTTAAGGGGAATTTCATTTCAGACATCAGGATAGTTTATATATACATGAATTATCCATTGGCCCCTAACATCCAGATCAAAACTGTCCTCTATTAACCAAGGGATTTTTTTTTTTCAGTGCTAAGAACAACAACAACAAAAAAAATCCTCATTTTTTTCATGTTCTCACTAATAAACTAATGGCCAATGTCTTCAATTATAAGTAGGCTGTTTAATTTAAAAATTCCTTTCAAATAGGCTTAATATCTATGTCAATCATGCACATCTTTTCCATTTTTGACCTAAGCTTACTTTTACATAACTTGTTCTTATAATATCTAGCACCATGTTTATTTTTACTGGTGAAGAAACCAAGACAAAAGTAGCAACAACCTACTAAAAATTATAAGGTTAGAAAAAAAAATCTCTTCACCCCAATCTTTACCTTGTTAAGCAGTAGTGCTGCTTTTAATAGTCTGCAATGAAGTCTCTCGCTCTGCCTTTAATATTATTTTATACACTAATATTTCAATAAAATAGTTAAGTATCCTTACAGAAATTAAAATTGTGTCAAGATGAAACTATCTTCACAACTAAGTTTTCTAAGATATTTTACTAGACCATTCAAACACTGCATCCTCCTTTGCAAATCAAGAAAATGTTCTACAAGGAATCTAAAAAAAATACATTATCAGTAAATCAGAACAAACTAAAACTTGTACCTTTTCACAAAACTGATGCATTCATTAATAAAAGATAAATATTTTAAAATATTTTAGGCTTTTAAATTATTACACCATGCCAGGAAATTCCTAATGGTCCTATCTTCAAAATATATCCATAACTTTTCAGTTTTTTTTCTACTTTTACTGCTCTCACTCATCAATCAATATCTCTGTCCCAAGATTGCTCCAAGGTCTTCTAAACTAACCCCTGTGGCTTCACTCCTGCTCCCTTTTCCCAGTCTATTCATATCAGAGCAGCCAGAGTATTCCTTTTAAAACATAAATCAAAGCTTCTTATTTTTTTGTTTAAAACTCTAGAATACTGCTAAAAAGTACAAGGCAAGTCCTTTCAATGGCCTACTACTACAACATCTTCTCCAACCCTCTCTCACCTCTCTGGCCTACCCTAATACTATTCTCTTCCCTTCTCATTCTGTTTCAATCACACTGGGGAAAACACGCTAAGACATGTTCTTGCCTTTTCACTTAACTTTTCACAATATCCCCAGAGACCCCCATTGCTAACTCTTTACTCTCCTAACTTACTATACATCTTATTTATGTTATTAACTCTATCTGTCTCTGCATCCCACTCTTAATAAAAGAGCCACAAGGCACAAATCTTTATTTCACCAGTATATTAAAGCCTACAATAATGCCTCCCACATAACAGCTACTAATTAATGCATGAATCCTAATTTAAATTCAAATATTTAGTCAAAAATGAAATCATCAGAATGAAAGCTAACTATAATCTATAATAATGTATTTAGCCAGCATAACACTCTAATTTTTATGACATCTTGAATTTTTTTTGAAAAGTGAAATTGAGTACAACCCCAAATATAGTTAATTCAAAATTTAAGACTTTTGTAAAATCACAAAATTTATTATAAGAAATTACATTTCTAAGACCTAATTACAAGGAAGGAACTTTGTAATTACACGCTCTATCTTCTTTAAATCAAATAAATATCCCTTATGTAAACAGGTATTCAAAAGAAACAAGAACAAAGCCCAAAGATATATTCTACAGTCTTAGGCAAACTTGTCTAAATCAGTTTAAGAATAAAAAAATCAACTGCACACTAAAAAAATGAATAATTTGTTCAAAAGCAATAGGAAACCAAAAAGACAAGAGATGAATAAAGTGTAATGCTAATGCATTACTTTTCTGTTTTTTGTTTTTGAGATAGGTCTCTTAATCTGTCGTCTAGGCTGGAGTGAAGTGGCAATATCATGGCTCACTGCAGCCTTGAACTCCTGGGCTCAGTGATCCTCTCATCTCAGTCTCCTGATTAGTTGGGACTACAAGCATGCAACACCGCACCCACTAGTATTTTTAAAATTATTTTGTAGAGAGGGGTCACCTTATGTTCCCCAGGCTGGTCTCAAACTCCTAGGCTCAAGCAATCCTCTTTCATCAGACTCCGAAGGTATGGGAATTACAGGCGTGAGCCACCTCCCAGCCTACCTCTTCTTAATGTTGCTAATTCTGGTAAATTTATCAATGCTGTGAAAAGTGAGAAGAAATCAAAAAGTCATTTCGACACACGTAAGATAGCTAAGTAATTCAACAATATAATACCTGTAGGAGAGTAACTCATATTCCATAATCTCTTCTCTTTTTTAAAAAACAGGGTCTCATTCTGTTGCCCAGTTTGGAGTGCAGTGGTGAGATCACAGCTTAATGCGGCCTCAAACACCTGGGCTCAAATGATCCTCCTTCCTCAGCCTTCTAAGCAGCTGGGACTACAGACGTGCACCACCACACATAGCTAGTTTTTAAATTTTTTTGTAGAGATGAGGGTCTCACTATGTTGTGGTGTCAAAGTCCTGAACTCAAAATAATACTTCATCTTTGAACCAAAGTTTATACCACAAAGCACACAACCTTTATGCTGAAATGAGTCGTAAAAAGTCATTATTCCTATGAATTAGCCTTGAGACAAGACTACAATCAGGCAAATGAAGAGAGAACCTATCAAAAATTTGAAAACTTTAGTGACTAAATAACCTAGAAGTATTGGGATTTTGTTTGGGAATCGTATCTCCAGCAACAGTGCCTGACACACAGTGAGTGCTCAGTAAATATTTGATGAATAAATGAATCAATCTCCAGACTCAAGAATACTCAGCTTCTAAACCACTAGGTAATCCTGAAGTCACACTTGTAAACACAATTAACAAAAATTACATATTTCTTTGGGCCCATTATGTCTAGTACAGCAAAATATACTAACATAAAAAGTCCAGTTTTTCCCCCAAGATTATAATGTGATCATTAACACACATGATGGGTATATAAACAGTATACCTAAAGGTTTGACTGAAGTACTGCCAAGTAGGCAGTACTCTGCGACTCTGTAAATCCACGCAGCAAATGTAATTCTGCTTTTACCCATTTTTGTCTTCTGATATTTCAATTCGTTTTAAAGAAAACTTCACTGCAAAAAATATGTGAAAAACCAATGACCAAAACTACTCCCAAACACAAGAACTGCCTACCCTATTATTTAATCTACACCCATCTCTGATAACACGTTATGTCCCTGAGGCCTTGGTGTGCAAGTCGTTCTAAATTCTTTCGTTTCTGTATGGAAAATAGAAGAACCAAAGGTCATGTTCATCAACCTAGGTAAACAACCCATAAGTATTTATTTACTGTGCTTAGTTACTATCAGTTTAACTTTGTCAGAGATTTTGAAGGTATAAAAGTACACATAGGAAAGTCTACCAACCAAAAGTATGGCTTGGTAGTTCACCTCCCTACCAGTGCCTGAGTCCTTTTCTCTCCACCTTGGAAAACGGTGAAGGGCATAATTTGATATTCAATATTATAATGCCATATAGTAGAGGAACCATCATTTTCATTATACAAACAACTTTAGGTAAAGCTTAACAATTTTTAAAATAATGAGAGCACCTGATTAAGAATCTCAGCAAGAGGTATAAGCTTTAAAGAAAGCATGGATTAAAAATTTTTTTAAAAGGCTGAAAACCACTTTCCACACTATATTCTTAAGAAACGTACAGTACTATAACTGAGGAGATAAAGGCAATGTGCTATACCATGATGCTGATAAATGCAATAGGGCTATACCATGGGTACTGATAAATGCAACAGTGTTATACCATGGTACTGATAAATGCAACAGTGCTATAACATGGTACTGATAAATGCAACAGCAATTCAAAGAAATGAAAGTACAAGTTGAAATAAATCAGAATTTGGAAAGCCTTTTCTGTAAAGGGCCAGGCAGTCAGTATTTTAGGCTTTGCATGCTGCACATTATCTGTCACACTACTTAACTCTGCTGTGATACTGCAAAAGCAGTCACAGACTATACTTAAATGATCATGATTATGTTACAGTAAAACTTTAGGAAAATTTGAATTTCATATAATTTTCACATATCACAAAGTATTATTATTTTAATTCCCCACCTCCAACCATTTCAAAATGCAGAAAGTTATTTTACAAATATAGACATCAGGCAAGATTTGGCCAGGATGCCATAGTTTGCAGACCCCTGAAACAGATAAATGATTTCAATAAAGAGGGAGGATTTGAGTGAACCTTAAAAAACAGACTAGATTTGGATTGTAAAGAAGTCTCTCCAGGTATAGGATTAGGGTAGAATGGTCAAGCAAAACGGTTACGTTGGAAAGAAATACTGTTTTGAACATATAAGCTATGACTGTAAGTCTAAAGGGAAAATAAGAGTTAGACTTTGTCATAAACAATAGAGAAGCCAATACAGATTAGTCTAGAAGAGGAATACAAGATTGGGCACAAAGTCCAAGAGATAGACAAATACAGCAGGCTAAAAGCACCTGAACTATCACAGAATTTAAAAGAGCAATCCAGCAGGGTGCAGTGGCCCACGGCTGTAATCCCAGCACTTCGGGAGGCTGCGGCAGGTGGATCACTTGAGGTAACAAGTTTGAGACCAGCCCTGCCAACATGGTGAAACCCCATCTCTACTAAAATACAAATATTAGCCAGGCATGATGGCACGCACCTGTAATCCCAACTACTCAGGAGGCTGAGGGAGAAGAATCACTTGAACCCAGAAGGCGGAGGTTGCAGTGAGCCAAGATCATGCCACTGCACTCCAGCCTGTGCGACAGAGCAAAATGCCACCTCAAAAACATAAAGAAATAAAAATAAATAAAAGAGCAATCAAAGACAAAGAGAGCTTGGTAACTGGCTAGACATAAGAAATAAGACAACATATTAAACCTGTTTCTGAATGAAAAACTAATCAGTTTTAGCAACAGATGGTGGTTCATCTGACTTTCAGGTGTTACAGGTGTTATTTCCAAAGACAAATGAAACTTCAGTAATGAAACAATGCAAGGTCAGGATTAGTAACATAAATTTCAGCATCATAAACTTCAGAAAATTACCTATGAGACCATTTGGTAAATACTTTTATTTTCTAAAGAAAAGAATTAGATACTTGGTTAATACAGAAGGGTAGAAATCCAGATCTTAAATTCTCTGGATCAGGGGTCCCCAACCCCAGACTGGTACCCATCTGTGGCCTGTTAGGAACCAGGCCACACAGCAGGAGGTGAGAGGTGGGCTGGAAAGGGAGCATTAGGGCCTGAGCTATGCCTCCACAGCAGCAATAGATTCTCAGAGGAGCCAGAACTGTAGGTTGTTTGCTCCCTTTGAGAACCTAACTAATTAATGCCTGATGATCTGAAGTGGAACAGTTTCATCCCAAAACCACACCCCCACTTCCATGAAAACACTGTCTTCCACAAAACCAGCCCCTGGTACCAAATAGGTTGGGGATCGCTGCTCTAGATTATAGTAATGTTAATTTTTTTACTAGTTATCTGAAAAAAAAAAAAAAAAAGACGTATCACTGTGTCTCTGAAAAGGTAAATATAAAAAGAATCATAAAATTCTGAATCAGTAAAAGAACATGATCAACAAGAAGAAAATGAACAAATCATGCCATATCAGAAGCCAAGGAAAGAGTTTTTCCAAGGCTGTGTGACAAGCCAAATACAGTAATTAGACAAAAGTTATGCCAATATTACATGTTTATTTCCACATCACCCCTTCTATCACTCTTGCATTAATACCTTCCCCAAATCTTTCACTCTGGCCCATAAGGTACAAAACTGATGCTCTTACATCTTTATCTTACATTTTCTCCCCACCTGTTAATCTGGCCTCTACTTACCTGTGTTTTTAATCCACACTATCATTAACTCACCTAAACGTCTTTTTTTCCTTCACTATCCCAATTGTATGCTACTTCCAAGTAATACTTCCTTTAGCTAAATTCCTTTATACTAATTTTAAATCAGTGAGTACTGCCTTGTATATAGCTCAGATTCTTAGTGTCATGCTTGCAGTCTCTCCACAAAAGTTATAAGATCTTTTAAGGGGGCAATAATTTATACTTTTTGTATCACTCACAGTGCCTAGCTGCTCAATAAAATATTGGTCAGGGATAACAGGCTAAATCTAATCTAACATTAGAAAAATGAATATCCATTTTTACCATTAATTCTTCATGATGAAAAGCTTGAGACTCTAAGCAAGTGACATAATAGTCATATTTTAACCATGAAATTACTAAGTTATGCTCTTTTTCCCAAGTAGTAATTCTAAGAAGTAAAACATACATATATGACTAAACATTAACAATTCGTCTCATTTGACTGCAAAGCTAAAGTATTGTAGACAGTTTCCAAAACAAAGTGAAAAAAAAAACAAAAGATTATCTTTTTTGGTCTCTCTTACATCTAAACTCCTACTTGCAGTTAAAAGTCAAATTAAAATGTTTCTTCTGTGATAGAGTCCCGGAGGTCCTGAGAAAAACAGGCGTTCTCTTTTTCTGCACGTCTTAGTACTTTTAACTATTTACTCCTTTATACAGATTGAGCTATTATAGCTATCTCTAATTTATCTTGGTATTTCCAGGGCTAGGCACATAGTAAGTGCTAAATAAAGGTAATCTTAACTAATGAATAACAAATCAGAGACTTAAAAAAATTTTAATGCAGATGAGCTTTTTTTAAAGAGGAATTCTTTTTTTAAGTTCAGTGGTACATGTGCAGGTTTGTTATAAAGGTAAGCTTCTATCATGGAGGTTTGTTGTCACCCAGCTATTAAGCCTAGTACCCACTAGTTATTTTTAGAATTCTTATACTTAAATACAATACATGTAATACATAAAAATAGAAGCTGTCCTGGTTTGGGAGGGTAGGTTATCATAGGAAGTCTCAAGGCATCTAGGGAAAAAAAACCATAGGAATCCAAGGAGCAGAGTTTGAAAACCAATTAAAATTCATACTTAAAATTTTTAGCATAGAAGTATCTCTCTTAATTTCTAATACAGTTTTCCCTACTTCAACAAAATAATCGACAAAAGCCTGCACTTAAGAGCTTGATTACTCAAATTACTGAATGATGAATCACTTTATTGATGTTCTTCACAGTTCTTTTAGAAATTAATTCCTTTGGTGTACTTGAAATATATATTACAAATATATTTTAGGAACACAGACATCGTTAAAACAGAACACTGTACAATGCTTCTTCAGTCAACCATATTACTGCATACCTTCTTGGTAGGCAAAGAAAAAACTGTGGACCATACCCAAAGACATAGTTTTTAAAATAGTATCTATGGAAACTAAAGTTGTGACAAAACTTATTCTGTAGCTACCAAGAAAATCTCTAATTATGCCATTTCATATTTAAGAAATGACCACTAAAGGGCAACACTCATCTTATATCCTGCTAATGTTGGAAAAGTTTAGTAAAGTCTTTACAAGACATAACTTTTTCTTCAATTAAAAAAAGTGAGTTAGAAAACTTATTATAAGCTGTATCACAACTTCAAATCCAAAAAAGGAATGCAAATACATTATTAATTCCTTAAATAATCTTAACTTCAGTATTAATTGCTTAAATAATCTTAACTACAGTCTCCAAAAAAATGACTGTATTAATATGCTTTTCAAACACAAATAAGAAGGGAAGGCGATTTTCAAAACATTTAGGATAAGTATCAAGTGACAGAAGTAAGGTAATTTTGCAACACATTTTAAAAATGGATAAAATTGTTTAAATGAGGGACACTACAAAACTGATAAAGGTAACAGAATACTGCCACAATTCTTACATCAAAGTGTAACCCACCTCACTCCCCAGTGCTCTTATTAATGTACAAAGAATGACAAAATAAGACATGCTGATCTGAGTTTAAAAATGTAGCTTAAACAAGACAACCAAATCAATAGTTATTTAATCATCTGAATGGTCTGATTCTGTTTTAAGTCAATTAGATCAATAGTGCTATCTCTTGAAAGTTAAAAGCATAGGTATGTGCAGCCTTTCAGTCCAGTGTGTTTAGTCATAACCTGCTCCAGTACCTTTGCAAGTTTTTGGTGACCCGCACTTACCATTCTTTTTGTACTATAGATAAAAGTAATGGAGGTCAATTATACAAAGGTTAGATGAAAGGAAAAAATGAGAAAGGAATTTAAAATAAAAGCAAAATCTTACTCAGGAAACTGTCTAGTAGGTTACCTACACGGTAAGCATGTTTATCTACAAACACTGAATAAGAATACCGTTTTATGGTATTACAGTACAAATAAACCGGAATTGACAGCAAAACGTTTCATTAACATATTTTAAAATCAAACATTATTCCAAATGTCTAATCGTTGCATCTAGATAAAATTTTTGTTAGGAGAATCATTTTAAATGGAAATGTAGAGCAATCTCCCATAACGAGATTCTCCATGAGGATAACCACCACCTAACATTCTGTTCTAACTGAATATTGGTTCTGGATTTAAGTGGAACTGACAAACCCGCCCTCCCCTGCCCCCCCACCCCCGCCCACACACACCTGTAGAAGGCAATATAAGCAAATACAATACTACTAACTACAGAGAAGTAATTTACTGTTTCACACTTGAACATTAAAAAAAAAAAATTGTTTGCTGCCCATCACAAAGGAAAAAGCAAATGATCGATGAGAATTTAAACTTAAAATTGTGAGCACAAACCCATCTATATGCCTATCTTGCTCTGTCTCAAAATATTTATTCCCATTTATTAAGCAATGGCCAAAGCCGAATTTCTATCACACGGTAGAAGTATAAGCGTCTACTCTACAACTTTCTTGGGATTTTACTAAACGTCCTAATAACAGTTTGCCCTTACTTCCGTGCACCTTTCAGCCTCACCTACACCCCGAGCCTCCACCTCACTTGCATTTCTAATAACGCTGTAGAGGGAGGGTGAGAGGGAGTATTTCTGTGTGGATAAGTGCGCGCGCGCTCCCGCGCGGCTCCCCACCCCCACCCAATACTTTTCTTTAGTGGAAAGAGAGGAAGAATCTGGACGTTATTCTAGCGAAAACTCAGTATCAAAGCCTCAACCCAGTCGCAGTTAACCCACAGGACTCTGGGCTCTGGTTGCGCAGCCCAACTTCTCATATCTTACTCCAAGCTTCAAGAACAGATGGAAAATTGGTGACGAGAACCCAGGGAGGAGTCGGGGAGACGAGGGAAAGTGAAAGGGCCGATCCCCTACAATGCCTTTAAGTTTGCAACCAAGACTGTGTTTCCGCGAATCTGCACCCGCCCCCTGTCCCCCCTTCCAGGTGGAACTCGTTAACAGCAGCAACCCGGCCAACGGACACCGCCACCTCCCTTCCCCACGGACCACTCGAGACCCGGGCAAGTGAGGGCGGCGGGCCGAGAGTGGACGCCTGGCGGGGCCGGCCATCCGAGGCCAGCACCAGGCCTTTGCCGACCCCGGCCCAGTCACCTGTGGAGAAAGCACCCCCTCCCCCGGCCTCTCTGCCCTTCACGCCGACCGTATCCCTAACGCCGCAGCTGCTGCCCGCCCGGCCTGCGAAAACCGAGCGCGGCGCCAGGCTCCCCTCGGCGGCCGCGGGGCCCCAGCCCCTTCAACTGGTTACAACCGGCGGCGGCGACCGAGCGGGGCACCTAGAGGCGGGAAGGTCCCCGTCCGTGAGGGGGCGGGCAGGCTCGGAGAAGCGGGGGCCGCAAGATCCTACCTAACAACGTCGGTCTCCTCCGTCTCCTCCTCAACGGCAACGGCCCCGGCGGTGGCGGCGGCAGCGACATTCCTGGGGAGCGCTCCCGCCGCCGCCACCTCCTCCTCCACTCTCTGCTCGCCTCTTCCCCGGCGCGCTCACCGAGCGGCGCGTCCCTTCAGCCACCTCCCCCCGCCCTCCCCGACACACAAGCCCCGAAACCCTAAGCCCCACAGCTCCCGCAGCCTGCTCACCCACCCTCCCTCCCTCCCTGCCACCAGCGGCGGCCCCGTCCCTCCCCCCTTCCCCAGCGCCCGCCGCCGCGCAGGGCTCAGTAATGGCGGCCACTCGGGCTCCCTCGCGCTGACGGATTTCTCTCCCTCTCTCCCGAACTTTACCTCAGCATCTCTCCCGGCGCGCGCAGCCACACACCCGACCGGGGGCGGAGCGGCGGCTCAGCCTGGACGGGACACGCGCGCGCGCGCGCGCACCCGCGTTGCCCGCCCCACAATCCTCCGCCCCCGCCCCCTCACCTCGCGACGCCTCCCGCGCCGCGCGCCCAGCACGGCCCCGCCCCTGCCCTCGTCTCCCGGGAGCTTGGGAAGGCTCAAGCGATCCCGCCGGAGGTAGAGGAGCGAGCGCGCGAGGCCGCGTCCTCGCTCGCGTCCCCGCTCCCTCCTCCCCTCCGTTTCCCCCCTCCCCTCTGCTCCCCCATTGGCTTCTGCCCCTCCCCCTTCTTCCTCCGCCTCTCCCACCCATTGGTTCCCTCTCCTACTCCATTCCTTCTCACCTTTTCCCTTTTACCCATTGGCGTGAGTATTTTTCCTCAGCTTCCCTATTTCTCCGTATTCCGCTCCTCCTCAGTACCATCCTCCCAGCTTTGAAAGCTGCTGCCGTGCTGCCCGGAGCGCCGTCGTCCCTGAACCTCGCCTGCTTTCTCCATTTCCTTCTGTTCCGGTTTCTGGTGGTAATTCAGAGAAGCCACTGTACTGCAAAGGAACCTGATATTGTGCTCGCCGTTCCAAATGGGCAGGGGCACCGAATGCTTCTCGATAAATCCCCTGTGGTCTCTGAGTATTAGAGAATGCAGAGGAGGAAAACCTGCGCCCAAGCTCGTTCGCAGGGACATGTTCGCGTGTCTGCGCCTGTGTGCAGCCAGTTTTCTGGCTGAGGATCGCTCACCAACTACAGACATCACCCGCCCAGGACCTGGTGCCACACTCACCCAGAAGACGAAACTCCACGGGAGCGAGGAGTCCATTTCTCTGTCGGCACGGCACGGGGATGCAGGCCCCTGATTCAGCAGGTTCTGTGGAAGTGAAGTGAGAAGCCAAGACGTGGAGCGAGAAGCCAAGACTTGGGGCGGGTTTCAGGGTGGCCCAAAAGACCCCTGTTCACGCCAGTACCGCCCAACTTTAGGAACTGTCGGCCACCTGGTTTTTATTATACTGCCTTAAACATATTTACTTTTTTGAGACTTTTAGAAATTTCATAAGTTCGGGGGTTCAGCACACTGGGCTTTGGGTGTATTTCTCACGAGGGCACTGACGCTGAATGGTGCAGTGAGAAAGGACGGTGGAAACCGCTGCCTTTGCTTTTTACCATTGAAGAAACTGAGTTCCTGTGACTTTCTCGAGGTCATCGGAATCTGCATTACACAGGAGACTTAAAATACTTGCCAGCAGATAAAAGAATGAGCAAAACTACATGTATTCCAATTTGTTAGGTCTAAAAGAAAGTAATTGAAGGGGAATTCCTCTTTGGGGAAAGATTTATTTCCTGCATTGAGAATAGTTTATTGTCAGTAAAGTTAACATATAAAAAGTATTTTAAATTCAAGTTATTCTTTATGTTACATAAGGTACTGAAGTTAGCCAAGGTTGCTTTTTAGTGTTATAATGATGCAGCTGCTGCCAACCAGAAGTACATTTACGGTCTGTCAGTAAAGAAAACAAAAACTGCCTGTTGGTAAAAATCTGTTAGAAAATATTTGTCAGTAAATCTGTCACAATATTCCAGCAGAAATTCTGTTCATTTTTCCATCCTCCTGCCCCTCTTCATATTTCTCAAAGGTAAACTTAATAAAGGCAAGAGACATTTAAAATTTTTCTATATGTCTCTTGCTCCCTAATTTCTAAAAGCCGTGACTATAATCCCTTATTCAAGCCACTTGCTTGCATCTGAATGCTGCCTACCAAGTAGGTTAAGAGTAGGTTAAGTAAGATCTGTAGGTACTTCTTTCAGTTACAAATTATAGGTAGGAAAGAAGGATGGGGAAGGAAACTTAACAATGAAAGTAAACAGAAGGGAGAAAAAGAAGTAAAAAAGGAGAAAAGGGAATTTGATGGGTGGTCCAACCATCAAAATGTAGTAGTAATGTCATAGGTATCTACACCACTTATATAGGTTGGAAAGTTAATGCATTCCAACGCATGTTTTTATCTTTGTACTAAAAGCCCTTAAGAATACATGAAGCCAGTTCAAAGTCATAACCTGAATAAAATGTTAAGTACTATAGAGTGAATACCTTAAAGATACCTTAAAAATTATATCCCAAATAATCAGAAATTTTAATAACCATGAATATGTATCAACATAAACCAAAGCCAAATATATCAGGGCTTTTAAAGAAAACACTAAAAAGGTGTAATACTCAGTTATAGGACATGATATTGGAGGCAGGGAAGACTTGAAATCTCATTTTCTCATAATGAATACACCAGAAGATGGTTTAAAAAAAAAAGTCATGATTTCCATTATAGTCACCATTATTTTTAGTTCTTTATCTTGATTTAGGGAGCTTGGAAATTTAGGACTTCCATTTCTTATTAATACTAATAGTCTAAAGGTGCTTACCAGTACAAATAAGTTATTGTATGTAATTTACTCTTCTCAAAAAATAGTTTTCTGTATCAATAAAAATCTGACATGGGAATTTGAGGCCACAATTCTGTGGCTAGTAATTCATATATATCTATAAAAGGCATTAAAGAGCAGGAGAAGAAAAGATTTAAGATGGCATCTATAAAAATTGATCAGAAGCCATGACTTCAGAGAAAAAGCTTTAAAACACCTTCCCTACTCAAAAGGAGAATTTTTAAGAAAATAGGGAACGTATTATTTACACACACAGACACACACACACAAATATGGGAGAGAAATGGAATATTACCAAGCCCTCTCAAACTACTTTTCTTATCTAGAATAAAAAAGTTAAGCATGTGTTCTGCTGTTTTGGGTAATTAAAATCACTGGAAGCTTTGTTCTTCGTTTACTTTGAAAAAATTAGAATAAGATTTGTCAGGCATTTTAGGTTTTTAATTTAAATTTTCTTCATAAATCTCTAGTTCTTCATCACACCCTAATACAGTATTAATATGCGTGGTCTTTTGCAATCAAAAGACATGACAGTCATAAAAAATGTTATCCTAATTTCAGCTTCTACCATTAGTGGTAATGGTATTAGTGGTAATACTGCAATATTCACATGTTTCATATGATGTGGCTTCAAAAGAACTTACCCTATAGAGGTGACTACACCCCCTGCTGGAAATCTTCAATCATAACAACTTTGGCTTCTGCAGTCTCAATCAAGAACATATGAAAAACCAAATAGTCTTTCCACTCATAACAGAATTTTCAATACTTTTGCCTATCTAATACAAGACAGCCTTTTGGAGAACAAACTATCTCAGAATATCACCTTGATTACAGACAAAATACACAAAGAGGATGGAGAATAATGATGTAAATAACTAAATAGCCAAAACACTCGTAAGATATTTGCTTAATTTCCAACTGTGTTTCCACTCTTTACCTTATCCCCATCTTTTTCTGTCTCATACAACTGGGATACTTGGAAGAAGGCAGGATAAGGTGGGATGTTAATCCTTCAGATAGGCAAATAATGGTGTATTAATCCCCAGTAGCCACTTGCTGAGTTAAGGTGTTTAAGAGCTATCCACAAATTTGTTTTATGGCTACAAATGATATTTTCAACATGAAGAAAAGGTGCTAATTATGTCTTGGCTGTTACTGTAGAAAATGTTTTGACAAGAGTTAAGGTAATTGTGAGCATGGGACTGGAACAGGAGGAAAGTAGTGCATGGACCTTCTTGGCATTTTGTTCCACAGAGCCTTGTTCTGTTGATTTTCCAAAACTGTATTTTCAGACCGAAATCCCAAAGTGGTATCAGAGTCTTGCTTCAAAATGTCAGGCTCATGGAGCTCTAGTCCTAGGACATAACTGAAATAGTGAAAGCAGCTTTTTAAATAATTAGTATTTTGTAAAGATTATTTGTAATGCAGACTCATTTTAAAGGAAAAACAATTCATTCAGATCCCACCAGCACAAATACTTTAATTAGACAAAAATCTTCAAGTTATTTCCTCTCACAAAAGGAGGTATTGTTGGGCCATCTGGACCCTCTATTGAATTTTTATGAAAGATCACAGCTTGAATTTAATCAACCCCAATAAAGTTAACTCCATAAAGCTAAAAAATAATTGCAAGGGTTGCTATCTGAAGGATTTGAACTTTCTCTTTGAGATTGTTACCATTGTCATTTGTAAATCATTACAATGGGAAACAAGAACTTGTATTGTTTGACTATTTAACCTCAAGAACATAATTTTTGTGAATTTCCCACTCTCTTTAGACCAAATTTAGATTGTGAGTCTCTCGAGGTAGGAATAACAAAATGAATGTTTGGCTCTATATAATAACTGGAAGATCATTAGTAGAAAGTTCAATAAATGTTTGATAATAATAACATGAAAGGTTTTATGGATTTCTGTAGATTTGTTGCTAACAGAAGGCTTTAGATTATATTTTGAAGTACCAGCTGAGATAATCAGTTTGGAAACTAGAAATCACTTAAAGAAATCGTTGAATTCACCTGTGAAAGTTGAGTTAGATGTCCTTCCTCAAGTACAATCGACACATCTCCAAATAACATCTCTCTAGTAGGTAAATGTGAGTTACTAATAACAAATAACTATGGGTTTGAAACATCTGGAAACGTTCTAAAGAACGGGTACAGTTCCTAAAACCAACAATAAGAAGGCTAATTACTTTGCAATTAAGTCTCTGTCAGTTTTCCTTATTATTTCAAACTACAATAGATGGTAAATACTTGTTTTGCCAATTCACACTTTGCATTTTCTTCAAAAAGGCAAAATTATAGTTATTTTTCTAGTTTAATAAATACATACATACTTTTAAATACAGATGGTCCCTGACTTACTACAGTCCAACTTAAGATGTTTTGTCTTTATGATGGTATAAAAGCAATAGTATAAAAGCATTTGGTACAAACTGTAAGCACACGTACAACCATTTTTTTTTTTCACTTTCAGGACACTATTCAATACATTACATGAGATATTCGCCATTTTATTGTAGAATAAATTTTGTGTTACATGATTTTGCCTGACTATAGGCTAATGTAAGTGTTCTGAGCATGTTTAAGTTAGGCTAGGCTAAGCTATGACGTTTGGTAGGTTAGGTGAATTAAATGCATTTTTGACTTTACAGTATTTTCAATGTATGATGTGTTTATTTGGAAGTAACCACATCATAAGTCGAGGTGCATCTGTACTTCTGTATGTCTCAAATTACAATGTGACTCTTTTGATGGGCACATACCTTCCTTCATATACATCTGTTATACAGTGAGAAATAAGAACACTCACCTGCTTTCTCTAAGTAGGCTTCTTAATCCTCTTCAGCACAGCCCAGGACAGGCCTATATCACATACATCATTTGTTTCCGGTTCTAATACTTAGAGGCATAGACATTAAATAATGTTTTTTATGCTGTGCCACAAAAATATTGACATTAGTTATTCTGAGACTTTACAAATATGACAATAATGTAAAAGTGATGTAGCAAAAGCTTACAAAGAGCTATATATATCCTATAAATTAAATTCTTATAAAATTAAATTTAAAAGAAAGCAATTATTAAGATGATATTTTAGAAGCATGTATTTATTGAGGTAGAAAAACAGTTATAATATTCCATGTGAAAAAAGGTATAAAACAATACAAGCTGTATGATTCTTATAAAAAGAAAAGAAGCATGTATTTATTGAGGTAGAAAAACAGTTATAATATTCTATGTGAAAAAAGGTATAAAACAATACAAGCTGTATGATTCTTATTAAAAGAAAATGTCTGAAAACAAGATGACAGTATTATTGACCAATATGTTAATAGAGATTTTAACTAGATGGTGAGATTATAGCTAATGTTTTTTTTCTCCGTGTTTTCAATTTTCTACAATGAACATAGTATTTCTTGTACAATAAAAATTTGAATTATAGTGGGGTTGAAAATTGAGAAAGACAAAGATACACTGTGTTAAGCAGGATAAGGTAAATTGTCTTGAAGAAACTGCCTGCCTACCATGTATATCTCTATTTTCTCTTTTATTCTTCTCTTTTCTTTTTTTCCCTCTTACTCCTACTTTAGATGTTTCTTCCTTCTTCCTTTCTTTTTACTTTTTAATTCTCTGTCTTCTTTTCCTTCTTTCTTATCTCTTGGGCCTCTTAGGTATTGCCCGGTTCTGTTTGCAGCAATCTGTGATATTGCCTGGAATGAAATGGTCTATGCAAACATCTTCTTGCCACTGAAATCTTTTGCCTTTAATGACTTTTTAAAAAGTTCTTTCAGAGCAAAACATACCAAGCAAAGAACACACATTTTATTATATTTAATGACTCTCCTTTTATTTTTAATTATGTAAATGTGCCAATCAGTAGCATTGCCTATATTGTAGGTAGCCTCACTGTGACTGTGTTGAAAAGCCTGCAGATATAGACAATAGTCTCTAGTGCTAATAAAGTTGAGCTGATCTTTCCGCCTGCTTTAGTCTTTCCCTTTTGGACCACAAGGTTTATGATAAAATGTGTCCCATCTGGATTTGTTGACACTTGAATTACCTTTGAATTCCACCACATTGGTAACTAATGGTTGTTTTTCCAAGTTGTGGCATTTCTTCAGTAAAGCACCTCCTCTACTACATTCTCCTTAGCAGAGCACAATCAATTACCAGAGTAAAGAAAAGGTAAAACTGTCTAACTACGGTTATTCTGAGACTTTACAAACATGATAATAATGTAAAAGTGATGTAGCAAAAGCTGATAAAGAGCTATATGTATCCTATAAATTAGATTTTTATAAAATTTAAAAGGAAGCATTTACGAGGAATTATTTTATTCCTTTTATAATATTTTATTTTTATGTAATTATTATCTTATTCCTTTTATAATAATTCCTACAAAGGAATTATTATGTACACAGTAGTCTGTAGTGGAAAGACCACTGAAATGGGGAGTCAAGAAATCTTAATTTTATCTCAGGTTATGAAACCAACAATAAGGTGTTCACTTCACAGTTAAGTCTCTGTTAGTTATCCCTATTATTTTAAGCTACAGTAGATGGTAAATACTTGTTTTGCCAATTCATACTTCTGCATTTTCTTCAAATGCAAATACTGTGTGATCTTCAGAAGTCACTGAATCTCCCTGAGCTGGTTTCCTCATCCACAAAATGGTCCCTTTGCTGCTCTAACATTATTTAGTTTGAAGTGATTTTGCTCAAAGACCAGGCTTCCCTTTTTCCTGGATTACCCTAAATTTAACACTCACCCATACCCACCACCACACCTAGAACAAAGCTATTACTTTTTGTTCCACGTTTGGTTTTGTCTATGGCCCTTATCCCATCCCCCTCCACAAAGATAATTTTTCAACGCCATATACATAAAACCCAAGTAAATCGATATTCATCTAAATCTCATTCCTAAAGTCTATTTCATTAGGTTTGGATCTCTAGATTTCCCACAACATGCCTGTCCCATTGAGGTTATAAGGCCAGTGATTTTGCACCTTCCTTGCTAAAATGTTGCCTTGTACTTTCTAACCCATGGTTCTTTACATTTTCAAAATTTAATAATCACTTTGCACCCTCACCCCACCCCACAGTACAATCTAAAGCATCTTAACAGCCCATCCTGGGCCCCCTATATAACCCTGTTTAGTAATCTATTCAGGCTGTATCTTTTGTCCCTTATGAGCATTTATAGCTAGTCCCATTTTCATCCTTAGCCCCAGGCAACCACTACTCTTTCTGTCTCTAGAGATTTGCCTATTCTGGACATTTCATATAAATTAAATCATACAGTAGATGATCTTTTGGATTTGGCTTATTTTACTTAGCATAATATGTTTAAGTTAATATATGTTTTAGGATGCTTCAGTGGTTCCTTCCTTTTCACAGCTGAATAGTAGTCCATTGCACTATTAACTGATGTTTAGCTTGTTTCCATTTTTTGGCAATTATGGATAATGTTGCTATGAGCAACCAAATATTTGTGTACATATGTTTTAATTTCTCTTGAGTAGATACTTACAGGTAGAATTGATGGATCGTATAGTCAATTTATGTTTAACCTTATAAGAAAATGCCAAACATTTTTTCAAAATAGCTGCATCATTTTATATTATCACTAGCAATGTATAAAGGACCTAGTTTCTCTATAATCTATAATATAATATGGCCAACACTTGTTGTTGTCTATCTTTTTTATGTTAGCCATTCTAGTGGATATGAAGTGGTATCTCATTGTAGTTCTATCTATCATCTATCTATCTATCTATCTATCTATCTATCTATCTATCTTAGAGACAGGGTCTCCCTCTGTTGCCCAGGCTGGTGTGCAGTGGCATGATCATAGCTCACTGCAGCCTCAAACTCCTGGGCTCACATGGTCTTCCCACCTTGGTCTACTGAGTAGCTAGGACTATAGGCATGTGCTGCCACATCTGGCTAACTTAAAAAAATTTGTTTTTTTGTAGAGACAGGGTCTTGCTTATGTTGCCCAAGTTAATCTTCACCTCCTGGCCTCAAGTGATCCTCCCACCTCAGCCTCCTGAAGTACCAGGACTACAGGTGTAAGTCACAGCACCCAGCCTCTCATTGTAGTTCGAATTCATATTTCCCTATGTGACAAATGATGTTAGGCATCTTTTTATGTGACTGTTAGCCATTGCTATCTCTTTTTCCATAAGGTATCTGTTCAAATCTTTTGCCCATTTTAAAATTGGGAAGTCGAGCTGAGCTTCCTTGAATTGTAAATTCTTTGATTGAATTCTTTAAACAAATCCTTAATTTTTTTTTTCTTAACGCAATTATGACTTTATTTTTTAATTTTTTTAAATTTATTTTTAATTTTTTGAGATAGAATCTCACTGTGTTGCCCAGGCTGGAATGCAGTGGCGCAATCTCAGCTCACTTCAACCTCCATCTCCCAGGTTCAAGTGATTCACCTGTCTCAGCCTCCTGAGTAGCTGGGATTACAGATGCACACCACCACACTGGTTATTTTTCTATTTTTAGTAGAGACGGGGTTTCACCATGTTGACCAGACTGGTCTCAAACTCCTGACCTCAAATGATCTGCCCACCTCAGTCTCCCAAACTGCTGGGATTACAGGCTTGAG